ATAACAAACATTACTAATCCGTAGCTTCGAAAGTGCAGTTTCATCGATTAGTATAAAATTGTACTCCAGTTGCATTGTCTTCACCAGTTATTCACAGTTCCTTCGACCAGTGAAGATCCTCCAGACAACAATCAATCAACCATGAAGTGCGACGCCGTTATTGAGAAAGTCAAGGCCCGTGTTGCTGGAATCGACGCCAATGGCCCACGTAAAGTGCTTGGAGTATTCCAACTGAACATCGAAGCAGCTGATGGTGTACATGAGTTGGGTAAGTAACCAGCCCTTTCTACAATCCATCAAATTAATACCGGGTGATAATTATGCTATTCTTATTATTCGCAGTTGTTGATCTGAAGGGCCTGAAGGTATACGAGGGTAAAGCCTCGGGAGCCGATGTGGTGATCAACATGAAGGACGAAGACTTCATTTCCGTTGGAACCAAGGCTGTCTCAGTGCATGATGCCGTTGAACAGGGAAAGATCAAGATGACCGGCGACGAGGCTCTCTTCCAGGCTCTGGTTGATGCTATCTAAGTTAAACGGAATCGGCCTATCGAATAATAATCTAACAATATAAGTTAAGCTATCATGAAAAAAAAAGCTATCTTGTACATTAATTGAAAGAAACTCTTTGAAACGTTTTGGAAAATGTGATCAACAAAGTTTGCCCGATATGACGGGAAGGGATATAAGGGATAGACGAATCCAAAACCGCTGGACCAGATCGTCACTCTCCACTCTTTATCAAGAATTGTGTCGTTTCGCCTACCGTACCCGCCACTATTTTCGTCAATTGTCCCATGGTGGAAGGCATTCTCCTGAGTGCTTGGAAAACCCCTGCCATTACTCCCATACATTAGTATTGACAACATAGAGAACTATTGCGGCATTTAAATTTTTGAGTTGCTTGCCTAAGGTTTATGAAAGCCTCGTAGTCGATTAGCATTATCTACTGGGACCATGCACTTATTACGTGAGATTTTTGTAGGGATATTTCTATCCCAGCTCCTTGTTTGTAGTCGCACCACATACTAACTCAATTAAAGGAGTGCCCGAAGTTAACCTACCCAAAATATTCTGATCCACATTTTTCACGACATCCTTCGAAGTCTTGTGGTTTTTTCCCCTCTGTTCGGGACCTAGCACTACTGCGACCACCTGATCTATTGTAGTATATCCCGTGTCCTTATGTGTCGTATTACCAACAATCAATACGAAACTAACGATTTTAAATTGGCTCACCACTTTAGTAGCCTATTGGTCCCAAGCAAACGATTAACGTACCCTATTCTAGTTGAAATTCTATTTCTACACTATGTTTGTTTTGATTCGCTATGAAAGTTTGACAGATAACATCAGGGGTGTGTGGATTCATGCAGAACATGCAGGGGTGAGTGAAATAGCTTGGGACTGCTTGGGACCGTTGTTCTGGTACTGAGTGAGCCAAAAATAATAATGATTTTCTTCGGGACCCAGTGGTCTTAGAGTTACCTCTATGGTATTACTCCATCACTATTGTTGGATCGTTGAGTTTCGTTCGGATCCTCCCCAGAAAAAGACGTTGTTTAGCCTTTTTTAAGCTGCAAAGCATATTTATTGAAATTCATTTTTTTAATTAGTATTGTAGTTACTTACGTTAAAACACAGACAATCAGACGTAACTCTTCATTGTGTATCTTCGTTCATGCATTCAATGGTTGATTTGAATATTATCAGTTCCGCGAACTACTCGCCACAGCGCTGGCATCGGATCTTTTTGACGTTTCTATATATTCTATAGAACTTTTATGCAATATTGTTTACGCGTTAGCAAGCAAGCTTGTTTTCCGCGAGAAGCCAGAGAGATGTCGTTACTGAGGTTATATGTTTTGAGATACTCACCCCTATTCTGTATTTCGTTTCGAACGAAATTCTCATACAAAAAATAATTTTTTTGTATGAGAATTTCGTTCGAAACGAAATACAGAATAGGGGTGACTATGTTTTCAAGAAGAAGTTTTTCAAAGAGTTACGTCTGTTTGTCTGTGGTTAAAGTATCCAAAGTATTATTGGTATTATCCAACAAAAACAAATTAAACAAATGTGGTTGAATTTACTTGAAAGTATTATACGTTTTACTTGGAAACGGGACCTTGTTCTGACGTTTGCTCCCAAGTTGGCTGCCAACGTGTTGACGTAAGCTGTCAGGCAGAGGTGAGATCTTCCAATGCCGAGGGAACCAACTGCGACCGAGGAGTAGATGTGGCAGTGCTGCCAGTGCCCGCAACATTCCCCGACTCGTAAAGCTGCAGGTCCGCTTCCGGCTCAGCTTTACTCTTTGGTTGCATATCCAGCACAGTAATCTTACACACAGGACGGCTTGTCGTACGCGGCCATCACGTCCTGTTACCACCGAGATGATGCGACCTCGGGTCCACTTCCGGAGCCTTCGCCTCTTCAAACCATTTGGTCCGCCTCGAGATGCTTGGCAAGTATTCTTGTGTCCACCTCTTCCAGAACTGGTCAACCATTTGTGTTGCCATATCCCAGTTGGTACGGCAAACTCCTTGGGATTGCACCAGTGGTTTCCTTGCTCGGACAACCCCATCAGAACTCAGGTGAATAAAGTGGTTCGGCGTCAGAGCCTCTTGTTCCGCTGATTCTAGAGGAATAAACGTCAGTGGCCGTGAGTTGATAATGGCACTGACTTCAGCAATAATCATGCGTAGGGTTTCGTCGTCCGAGTTCCCCAAGCTTGACAGCGACGCAAGAGCAACCTTAACGGACCGTTCAAGTCGCTCCCACACTCCCCCAAAGCGTGGAGTGGAGGGCGGTTTTAAGACCCACTTCATATTGGCGTCGGTGAAAGTGTCAGCTAGACCGTTGTTAATGGCTTGGATTTCCTGCAGCAGCTCGCGACTAGCACCCTGGAAATTCGTCCCATTGTCTGTATAGATCTCACTGGGCGCACCTCGATAGGCTACGAAGCGACGGATGGCCATTTTGCAAGATTCGGTTGTGAGAGAATGTACAATCTCTAGGTGGATGGCTCTGACGTAAAGGCAAGTGAACAAGGCCACCCATCTTTTCACATTGCTGTGACCGCTCTTGACCGATATTGGCCCAAAGTAATCGATGCCAGGTAAACGGTCGACCACACTGGTTCAAGCGCGCTGCAGGCAAAGGACCCATCTTCGGTGTAACGGGTAACGCCTTCCGGACCTTACAGGTCTGGAAATTCATAGAGACCTGGCGTACCACCATGTGGAGGTTCGGTATCTGGAAACGCTGCCGGATCTCGTTAACGATTGTCTCGTTGTTAGCGTGCAGAAACTTCCGGTCATACCAGTCAACTAGGAGTTCGCTAATCCGGTGGTAACGTGAGAGAATGATGGGAAACTTGAAATCATACGACACACCCGATGCCGCTCCCATTCGGCTGTCGACGCGCAGGACCTTTCTCTCGTTGGTAAACGGTGACAGCTTGTAGATCTTGCTTGATTATCAAAATTTTTGGTAGCCGAGTTCTTGCTGAGCAGTACGGTGACTTCATCCGGGTAGGCTTCGGCTTGTACTAGACGCCAAAAAGCTACTTCTGACCGCTGGATTTCGTCTTGCTACAAGCTTCCAGTTTTCTTGGGTTGCCCCAATCTGCGACGACGGGCATTGTCCAGGACTCGAATGACGTATGCCACGGTTCTTAATAGACGTTTCTACTTGGAGAAGCGGCTGAAATCCATCAACATCCATCTCGATGAACAAAGCAAGCACGTAACTCTTCAGTGGTTTTCGACGGTCCTGCTGCATTCTTCTTCGGCCACTCTGCTTCCGGATGACGTAGAAACTCGGGACCTTGGACCCACCTGGCTTCGGAGCTGAGACAGGGACCCTTTCCCCCACTTAGTCGCTTCATCGGTCTCGTTTTGTTTCGAGGGGATCCAGCGCCAGTCTTCACCGTCCGTTTTGTTCAAAATCTCCCCCACTCGGCAAGCGACGAACTGCCGATAACGTCTATGGTCGTATCTTATCCAGGTGAGCACAGTTTCCGAATCGGTCCACAGTACCCGACGAACAATTGGTAGTGAATGAGCTTCGGTAATGGTCCTCGCCATCCTGGCACCCAAGAGAGCACCTTGAAGTTCGAGGCGGGGAATGGACAAAGCCTTGAGCGGCGCCACCTTCGCTTTTGCCATCACGAGGGCGCAGTGAACTCTCCCCTTAGCCTCTACCCGTAGATATGCTACGCAGGCGTATGCATCCTCACTCGCATCCGTGAATATATGAAGCTGTAGCGGACCAACCTCGATCGAAGCAAAACCAGGAAAATACGAGCGGCTGATACGTATCTTTGATAGCTCTCCAAACTCAGCAATCCATCGATGCCATTTTTCCTGGATTTCTCCCGAAACTTCTTCATCCCAGCCTGCCTGTGATCTCCAAATATCTTGTATAATTATCCGTCCGTGGAGTAGACAATGTGACAGCAGTCCCAGTGGGTCAAAAACGCTCATGACACACCGTAGCAAGTTGCGTTTTGTCGGAGTCACTTCGTCTACGTTAAGATCCACCTCGTACGTGAACTGATCATCGATTGGGACCCAGGAAATTCCCAGAACTCGCTTAATTGCTCTCTCTTTGCTGGTTTCGATAGACTTTGTATCTTGAGATCCCAGATCCCCGACTCGTCGAAGAACTTCCGCAGAATTAGAAAGTCAGTTCCTTATGGTGAATCCTCCGTTAGTGTGCACCTGCTTTACCTCTAAAGCCACTTCGATAGCTTTGTTCTCACTGTCGAAACTGTCCAAATAGTCATCAACGTAGTCTTTGGATACTATCCAGCTTTCCATGCTCGGTAATGGCGGCCTGTTTGTATGAATAAATGTATCCTTCACTGTGCTTTTTAACACTAACTGGAGGGCGTATGTTGTTCCATTTTCTTCTGTTCCTGGGAGAGGGAAAGGGAAGGGGTTGAAATTCGAACATCCAGATAGTGTCAAAAAGCACAGTGAAGGATACATTTATTCATACAAACAAGCCGCCATTACCGAGCATGGAAAGCTGGATTGCTGCGGCCGCTCTGGGGAAGGTTTCCTTGTGTTCCTCGGCATTCATGTTTTTAATGAACTGGGCCTGGCTCGGTGAACAGGTAGATCTAAAAGTCCCTACATCCATTATGTACACTTGGATTGGATGCGAGGGATCCTTCCGGAACAGGAACCTCTGTGAGTGGATATCACCAAGCAAAATGCGAAATTGGTGAAACATTTGCTTCAGATCGCCACAAACCGCAACCTTTCGCTCACGGAACCCGAATACGACTGTCAACAATGGTGTTAGAAGATCGGGACCTTTTAGAAGCATACTGTTGAAGGAGACACCTCCTGCCTTCGCCGCAGCGTCCCAGATGAGACGAATTTTCCCTGGTTTTTTCGGGTTTCGAACTGCTCCTAATGGTAGATACCAAACTCTATCGGAATTCGCAGACTTCAACTCTTCCGGGGTCGTCAGGTGTATATAGCCGCTCTGCAAATATTCGTCGATCTGTCGATGAACGCTTTCACGAAGTTCTGGATCAGCTTTCATCCGCCTCTCAAAGCATTCCAAGCGCCGCTTCGCCATACCGAAGCTATCGGGAAATTTGAAGTGATCGTAACGCCATAGAAGGCCTGTTTCGTATTGGTTATCGACTCGCCTGGTTGTCCGCTCCAAAATAGAACGAGCACACTTGTCGTCATTGGACTCTGGACCTTTGTCAGCCGCAACTCCTACGCTATCCACAGAGAAGAATTTTTTCACCATATCGTGTAGCTCGTCTTCTTGCGAACGCGCACAGATGTGAAGGCTCACCTTGACCGAGCTGTCGCCTTCCTCTGCCATCCCTGACAGCGTCCAACCCAGCCGAGTTTTGCTGGCGATAGGGTCGCCCAGTTGACCCTCTTTTACTTTCAGAGCCGCTATCAAACTGGCATTTTTGGAACCGATTAGTATTCCAGGGGAAACTGATTCGTAGCTACTAAGAGGCAATCCCTTCAAGTGTGAGTGTTGGTGAACCAACTCCTCGTAGTTCAGCGACTGCCGAGGTAGACTGAGATTTTTCACCGTGCGGGTGTCATTTAGCATGAACTTCCCAGACTGTGAGACACCACTTATCTCGACCGAAACTCGTTGAGATTTTGGTTCGTAGCGAGTGACGTTGCTTGTCCAGCTCATACACAGCGGTAGATCCTCGCCATCATCGATTCCCAAACGTTTAGCTACCCAGTCCTCTACCAGAGTCATGTTCGAACCATCGTCCAAAAACGCGAACGTTTCCACCGACTTTCCCTTCCAGAACAACCGCACGGGAAGAAATTTGAACAGAACGGATTGCTTTGGGTTGTGATGTGCATTCACCCGCTCACTGGTTTCACCTGCAGTGCCTGTTGATTTCGGTTCTTCTTTAGTGATATTGTTCTGCTTATGAAGAATTGCATGAAGCAGCTGATGATGACGCATCTGGCATCCCTCCGTTCCACAGATTGTTTGCGTTTTACACGGTCTACGAACATGCTTACCAAGGCACGTGCGGCAGAGGTGATTATCCAGTGATGTTCCGCATCCATCTTCTTGTAGATCGTACAATCCTTTACCTGTGGTTCCTCACACGCTAAACACAAGACCGGCGAAGGTAACTCCTGCTTCGACGATTGATGTTTCTTCGTTAAATCTTCCGCCGAATGAGCGTTTAGGTAGTTCCTTTCCCGCGCCTTATCACTCTTGTTCGACTTTGCCAAATTGGTATCAGCAATAACGGTGTCGTCAGATGCTGCAACGACGACCAACTCTTGCAATAACACTGGGTTGCACATATGTGCCACTTGGCCCGCCGCTTCGAGATGGTACAGCAATCCCGAACGTAATCAATGTTTCTAACCTATCTAGCTTTGTAGCCGGCACCTCTCGCACTTTATTTAGCAAATTGTGAATAATAAGCTCAGGGCGTCCAACTAGCATATACAAAGTGGACAACACCTGAGGAACGCATGCCGGTAGAAGCATCCGACTCTTGACTGCTTCATACGCCTTACCTTGCAAAGCACGCTGGATTCTCGCCAGATTCTCCACATCGGTATAGCCACACGCCGTAGTGGAGTTGAGGTACGCACTGTAGAATAGGGGCCAGTCCTCAGGATCCCCTCTAAACGGTGGCAAATCCTTCGGCATTACTTGTCTCGCCAACAACTGCTGCTGCGTTGGTGTCACTGCACTGGTGCATACCGGTACGGGTACGCGTACGCGGGCTGACCCAAGAATGATGGCTGACTTTGTAAAAATGGATAACCTGCGATTTGTGGTTGATAAACCGACGAAAGTGATGGCATCGTAGCACTAGTCGACACTGCATTCATCGTTACACCGGGAAACATCCGTGGCTGAGTCATAGCTGGTACCGTATTACAAGCTTGGAGTGCAGGTGCTGGAGGTATGTTGGTTGGCATCGAGAGTGACTTCATTGCTGGGATCATATTGCACGCTTGGAATGCTGGAACTGAAGGCATACTCATTACTGCCATCGACCGCGACGTCATAACTCTACTTTTCAGAATCGCTCCTAGACTCCTATAATGCTCGATTTCTTGTGCTGAGACCCGAACGGATGGCGCGGAACTGTAGGGCACAACTGCTGGAGGCCCCAAGGATGGAATAGACAGTACCGTCGAAATCTGTGGAGCGCTGATGTTAGCCCCAGTGGCGGGAATAAACGATTGATGATATGAAGCGCTCGCAGTCATTCCGGTGCATGATTTTTCCTCTCGCGTTCGAAATCGCCCACGCCAAGTGCTGCTTTTTCCTCTCCAATTCCAGATTGTGCTATATTTCCATCTCTCTTTCAAGACTTGCCTGATGCTCTTGCAGCTGACGAAGGGTAGCTTTCGTTTTCTCCGAAAATTGAGTAGAGCTGCTGCTGATGGGGCTGATTACATTATCACCGACTATACCAGCAACAGCGCCTAGAGATATTGCTTGACTAGTCACAGCAACCGAGATAGTCACATTTGGCAGTGACGTAGTTGGTGGAATTAAACTTGCTGTCGTAACGGGAAAGGCTAGTGGTGAAAGGGGTTTGGAAATCGATGCGATGCATGCTTCGCATTTCCAAGCTCTCACCTTCCGAACGCTGCCATCCACTCCCGCACATCCATAATGCATCCACTCTTCACACATCGAGCAATAGACCATATTATCCAAGCTGTTGGAAAGTTTTGCAAATCTTGCAATCATTGCGCTCCGTCTCCGGCATGATGAAAAGTTAATCCGAACGTGGATTTAAACTTAAATATGTTGGATCGTTGAGTTTCGTTCGGATCCTCCTCAGAAAAAGACGTTGTTTAGCCTTTTTAAGCTGCAAAGCATATTTATTGAAATTCATTTTTTTAATTAGTATTGTAGTTACTTACGTTAAAGCACGTTAAAGTATCCAAAGTATTATTGGTATTATCCAACAAAAAACAAAATAAATAAATGTGGTTTAATTTACTTGAAAGTATTATACGTTTTACTTAGAAACGGGACCTTGTTCTGACGTTTGCTCCCAAGTTGGCTGCCAACGTGTTGACGTAAGCTTATACACGGTAAGAAAAAAGTACCCAAAATTGAGTTCCTTTCACTCATCACGTGGCTTCCGTGGGGCTAGGTAAAATTAAGTTAAAGAAGAGAACTCAATTTTGAGTAATCCTGATCATGAATCCACGTTGACCAAGTTGACAAAAAATAATAAAACGGAGCAGACTGGAACCGAACCATGGACGTTGACATTACGGGGCCCGTGTGTTGACCACTCGTCTATCAACGCTTGTGAAAATGAAATGGTTAAAGGCACATAAGAGCAACCTCAATGAAAATAAACTTATATTTGAGTTCATTTATTATTACTCAATAGTTGAGTAAATTTTAACCAACGCCGCTTTTCTGATTCACTCAACGGCGGACCTCTAATGATAGAACCCAACGTTGAGTTTTTTTTAACTTAATTTTGAGTATTTTTTTCTTGCCGTGTACCCTTTGGAGTTTGGAAACACCCACCAAAGGCGCGCCCTTTTGTCAGTCAACATTGGATTCCTTAACAGTCCTATTATTGCGGTACGTTAGAAGTTCTAACGTCTCCGTACACAACAATAGGCTCCTAACGCTTCTAACGTACCGCAATAATAGGACTGTTTCCCTATCTCATTTTTTCCTTGTTTCAAGATCATCCTCGGTGGACAAAACCGACTCCTGACACTATCAACAAGTCATAAAAAGTAACAAGGACTAAGATGTGTTCCTTTGATTACTGAAAAATCCTGTTACCCTACTTTGAAGTATTCAGGACTAGGAATCGGTGGTAGATCTTACATCCTGTAACGTACCACGAAAAGGTAATCTACCCATGTTGCGGGGCAACCAACGGCAGTGGAGAGAAATAGAACAAGAATAAATTATAAATTAAAGTACATTTAAATGACTGCCGATTTCATCTGATATTCGGGCGTCCTTCACTATCAGAACCGATCCGCATCTAAAATTGAAGACCGTAACCTACGACATCGCTTCAGCCCCGTATCTAGCCACTCGAGTACTGAAGAAGCGAACGGAGAATGAGAAGGAGAGCTATACCCTCGCAGCGAAGGCAACCTGTGAGGATTTTTATGTCGACGATTTCTTTTCGAGCGCACAGACTGTCGCCGAAGCAATCGAACTATGGGAGCAAATGGATGCCATGTTCAACTCAGCTGGAAAGTGGGCGAGCAACTGCCCTGCAGTTCTAGAAGGAGTTCCGGAAAACAACCGTGTCTTGCATCCTTCGATGGATTTCGACAAGGGTCAGGCCATCAAGACACTGGGTCTACACTGGGATCCCTGTTTTGACCAGTTGAAATACGTCGTTCCTGAAGCGACAACCAAGTCTTCAACAGTCGTCACGAAACGAAGCGCACTTTCCTGCATCGCCAAACTGTTTGCCCCACTTGGTTTGGTGGGTCCGGTCGTAGTCATCGCGAAGACATTCATGCAAGTATTGTGGGGATTGAAAGATGACAGCGGAAAGCAGTACGAGTGGGACAAGGAACTACCGGAGCAGATGAAGAAACGCTGGGTCGAATACTACACCGAACTTCCCCGCATGAACGCTCTGCGGATTGATCGATTCGTCATACTCCAAAATGCTACCTGGATCCTGGACGGCAGAAACATCACTCGCCGCATTGTTCACGGCTGCATCACCTGTTTTCGAGCCAAACCGAAGGAAGTCGAGCAATTCATGGCTGAACTTCCAACTCAGCGTGTTATTTAGTTATCTTAGTAACTGCATTATTCACCCAACGTATCTATGTGAATAACTTTTGTTTCATTCGCGATACGTTCAACGCACGTTTGCAGCTAACAAATCTTTGGATTATTTCGGTGTTGTTGGTTAAAATCATTAACCGACGCGGTAGATAACAAACGGAACTAATCCGGACCACCTGCTATTTCGGAAATGCACTTTCATCGAGTCGTATAAAATTGGACTCCGGTTCCATTGTCTACATCAGTTATTCACAGTTCCTTCGACAAGTGAAGATCCTCCAGACAACAATCAATCAATCATGAAGTGCGACGCCGTTATTGAGAAAGTCAAGGCCCGTGTTGCTGGAATCGACGCCAATGGCCCACGAAAGGTGCTTGGAGTGTTCCAGCTGAACATCGAAGCAGCTGATGGTGTACATGAGTTGGGTAAGGAACCAGCCTCTCTACAATCCATCAAATTAATACCGGGTGATAATTGTGCTATTCTTATTATTCGCAGTTGTTGATCTGAAGGGCCTGAAGGTATACGAGGGTAAAGCTTCGGGAGCCGATGTGGTGATCAACATGAAGGACGAAGACTTTATTTCCGTTGGAACCAAGGCTGTCTCGGTGCATGATGCCGTTGAGCAGGGAAAGATCAAGATGACCGGTGACGAGGCTCTCTTCCAGGCTCTGGTTGATGCTATCTAAGTTAAACGGAAGCGGCCTATCGAATAATAATCTAACAATATAAGTTAAGCTATTATGAAAAAAAAGCTATCTTATACATTAATTGAAAGAAACTCTTTGAAAAGTTTTGGAAAATGTGATCAACAAAGTTTGCCCGATATGACGGGAAGGGATATAAGGGCATGAAGGCAGTCGAGCAACTCATGGCTGAACTTCCAACTCAGCGTGTTACCGCTCTCCTTCGTCGGTGTTGATTTCTGGGGAACGATCTACCTCAAGCCTCGTCACCGCAGAGATGCATCTCCGAAAGCTTACGTCGCAGTATTTGTGTGCTTCAGCACATAGGCTGTACACCTGGAACTCGTCGTAGACCTAACTATAGTCAAATTTCTCCAGGCTTCGTATCTCGTCGGGGTTTGTGTTCAGACGTCTACAGTGACAACGGTAAAAACTTCGTTGGGGCAGCGAATGAAATCCGGAAACTACTACATGACAAAGACTTTCAGCACACTTTCGCCAGTGAATGTGCTACCAACGAGATTCGTTGGCACTTCAATTTGCCCCGTGGTTCGCATTTCGGACGATTATGGGAAGCTGCAATCAACTCTGCACAGAAGCACAACGTCCGTGTAGTAAGCTAGCCTTCGACGACATGGAGATACTCCTCGTGAAGATTGAAGCCTGTCTCAATTCACGGCCGCTCACCAAACTATCCGAGGATCCGTCAGACTTCCAAACCCTCACACCGAGACACTTTCTGATCGGTTCGTCCTTGCAGTCCGTCCAAGACGTCGACTATGAATCGATTCCAGCAAACCTTCTCCACCAATGGCAGCTCATCCAGAAACTGCTCCAGGATATCTGGAAACGCTGGTACTTAGAATACCTCGCTTCACTACAACCATAGAGGTAACTCTAAGACTAATAGGTCCCGAAGAAACGTGCTCAAATTTTTGGCTCAGCTCTGGTACTATCTTCGGTTCCAAGCTAATTGAATCACCCCTCAAAACATAGGAAAATCCACTAACCCCTTATTTTTTCAAGGCTTGGGCTTAAGTTGTGACTTCATTCGCGTGATGAGTAGACTTATGTCCAACCACTACTCGCTAGATGCTCATCTCAATAGAATAAACCTCGTGGACAGCAACATCTGTCGGTGTGGAAACGGTTACGATGACATCGAACACGCAGTTTGGCAATGTACGGATAATGACGCCGCCAGAGAG